ACACAAATCCACCTTCTGAGATGTGAAGGTACCAATAATCGTAACGCTGTTTTAAAAGGAACAAGTATTTATTTGTCAGGATTAATAGTTATAATATAAAAAGAGATTAGATTTAATTAAGTAATTTCAAGAATCACACCAGTCGTTTTTAATGCATCCGCACGGTTCGGCTTTCGCTACTTGACTCCCCTAGAGCCACTCGCTGCTTGTTAGCCTTGCCACACTCATTCATTGACCAGGCTTACCATCTGTCGATGACAATATTAAACTAATTTTTTAATCCCGTAGAAATATATTTTCTGAATTTAATACGGCATCGATGAATTGTCCTATGGCTTAAATTATAATTAGCAATGTTTAGTCCAATACTTGTCAATAGACTTGCAATGATAAAAATGGCATTTCTGCTACTAATGTTTGATCTGTCTAGAGCAGCACAGAGATCTGGAGTGATTATGTCAATTTTAGAAGGCGGTCGAAAGTGAATTTCATCTTCAAAATTTGAAATTGTACGTGAAGGCAGACTAGACATAATTGATGAGAAAACTGTTGACCCCGAGAGTGGAATGTCATTAGCATTAACGTCTGTCAATAGATGTCATTTTCCTCAGTTATAATTGCATGTATGAAATCGATTATTATCAAAATAATCATTCGGGAAAGAGATAAATTGATAATTACCACTGTGATCCACTTCCATCATATCATCATTGGTAGCTGGAGATATTTCTAGAATATTATTGTCAATAAATCCGTAACGAGTTCCAGATTTTTGGGACAGAAAAAATAATTTCTTATCATCGTCGAGTAATTCTTCCACATTATTTTTCGAAATATCAAATAATTTATTTAGATTTTGTAAAAAAAAGTTCCTCTTTCTTCTTTTGTGCAACAAACTTTTTTTGTTTACAATTTTTTTGTAACAACAAAATTTTCACTGCTATCACCAATCAAATAAATTGAATTATTCATAGCTAATCATACTAATACTTATTATAATTATATTCAATATTCCAAAATTATTAATTATTAAA